ATAAACCTAATAAATAAAATATATAAACCTAATCTTCTCTTTGAAAACTAAATCTTCTAATTGAATCTAAGAAGCCTGGTGGCCCAGTGGGGTAAGCATTGGGCTGCTAACCAGTAGGTCAGTAGTTCAAACCTACCAACTGCCTTAAGGGGGAAAGATGAGGTTGTCTGCTGCCATAAAGATTTACAGTCTCGGAAACCCGAAAGAACGGTTCGATTTTGTCCGCAGCACAGCAGTGAGATCCAACTGAGTCGACAGGTTATGGTTCCTTGAATCTTCTAATCCTAGGGATTTTCTAAATATGACTTCAACCATTTAAAGCTGTGACTATTTCAAACAGAATCACAAACGGACATGAAATTTTGCTTTATTGAAACAGCCAGCAATTTCTACTGTAGGATAAGTACTGGACTTGTAACCGCAAGGTTGGCAGTTCAAATCCACCAGCTGTTCTTGGAAATTCTATACAGGGTCGCTACAAATTACAACCAACCTGACGGCATAGCACAACATAAAGAAGAAAAGTATAGATTTGCCAATTTTCTGGTGAAGGATGTTCATAAAAATAGCTAGTCCTCTAAAACAGTACAAAAGATCCATCTTGAGACCTAATTTACCCAAACTAAGCACATAGCCTCGGAAACCCTTTACAGGGTCGCTGTGAGTCAGAATTGACTGAAAGGCACTTAACAACAACCATAATGAGTACATCACCTCAATTCTCAGAGAATTATCACTGTCATTTACTTCATACTATATAATCAGGTTGGTCTAAAACAACACATTTTCTAATTCAAAGGTGTCAGAAACACATTATATTAGAAAATGGTGTTATGCTTATTGATGGGGTCTAATGAACTGTTGTTTTCTACTTTTAATTAAAATGGATTTTTAAACCTTTAGTACAGATCATTGGAACAGGATGGTAACAAAACTTTTTCAGGAATATCACAACTGATTACTTTGGTCCCGAGTTACTAAAGCTATCAAAAAATCCTTTCAGAAGCCAATTGTTACTGGTAGATTTGGATACATACAATGTCTCATATTTTCTGCCAAAGCTATTCTTTTCACATCCAACGACATATCGTTTCCCATTTCTCTAGTTTTGCTTAAGGATAGTTAAAAACAAGTAATTGATTTTAAATTTATTATTACTTTATTAATTATTCACAACTCTAAAACCCAGTATTGTTGTTGTTATGTGCCGTGGAGTCGATTCGGACTCATAGTGACCCTACA